TAACAATAGTCCAAACAAAAGTGAAAAAATTCTGCTTAAAAAATTCTTCTTAACCATGTTGAAACTCAAAGCCCAGATTTACCTGCTATTTTGATTTTGACCACCTTATTTATGTGTAATTTTATATTACTTCAGGCTTGTAATGATCTATACAGAATGCATACAAATGCATGAATTGCATATGTATATGCATACAAATGCATAAAACTCATGCGCTTTAAAATTAATATGTAATTTCTTAGAAAAGCATATTTCGTTAAGATATTATCTAACTAAGCTCAGCTAATAGAAAGTTCTTCACAAAAGAGTTATAAACAAAGGACATGAGAAGTGTTTTGCAGCAAAGTTCAGACCCAAACAGTTAAAATCCTGGTTTTAATAACAGATTTTCACATTTATCTTTGTGGTTATGATTTGCTTCTTTGCTCCCAGGGGACTACTTAGACAGTCACAGTTTGATAAAACCTCTGAATGTTTGCCCTGGGACATGGAAAAGGGATGTCTGGAGACGCACTAAATAATTAAATGACCAGTAAAGTAAAATTATCCCAGGAAAGTGGCCTAAATGTTTGCATAGTGTGTTTGACCGAGGACACTTTCTTTTCCTCATGGTATTACACACCATTTCCACTAATTTTTCCACAACAGTTTTCAAGGATGTGATTTTTCAAAGAATTATTTAAAAGTGGGTGCACGCACCTCAGACAAATCTTTGATAAATTACTAAGTATGAATCTCTTTAAGTTGCTGTGGAACAATGCTAGTCGCACTTATATTTTTCTCCTCATTTAAGAACTGTATAGACTGTTAAAATTTATATTTTAGGCACTTACCACTGAGGATCTTGATTTATTTGTTAATTTGAAGTTATTCTGGTCACAGTAGCAGCTGATCTGGCTTCTGGCATCTATACAGCAGCAGAAGATCCTTTGCACATGTAGCTCGCATAGCATCTGGGAAAAATGAACTGCAAAGACTGTGATAAAGCACTCAATTTATTTCCATCACGTACCTTGTTAGGATTTGATACACATCTAGGTCAATGGGGCTCTCCACTCATTTCCAATCTGAGTCGGAAGGCTCCTGTTTACTCTCTGCTCCACTGAACTTGGATGATTAAATTTACATCACACCATGCAGGTACCTCTGAAAGTCATAACCTTCCCAAAGAATTGGTGCAAACACAAACAATCCCAGTGACCCCATCAATACCAACTCCCAGTAAGAATTTTTTGGAGTAAAAAAATGTACTGTTGGTTATTGTTTTCTTCATGTGAGGGCTACTTTAGCAGTAAAGGCTAAGAAGGCAAGGCTCGCTTAAAGAAATTGATTTTGAGTGCTGTGAGGATGCGAAGGAGCTTGTCTGGCAAAGCAGCACAGTTATGGAAAAAGTGTGGAGTCAGAAGTGCGTGAAAGGACTGGGAACAACCAGTTGGGCTCTGTCACCTTCCAAAGATAACCATGCGTAAATGAGTAAATATCCTTCAGGAAAGCAAATTTGTAACTTAACACTCAGAAGCTTCACAATCCTTGCCCTCAAATCAAATTTATTTGGGAATATCATCATAAGAAGTACGGACAAATACAGCAGAATAAGAACACACAGTTTTAGATTGCTTTGTTGAAAATTAAATAAAAAAATACTGGCTAGATCATAACCCATAACAGTATTACATAATATATCTGTCAGATATCTCAAGATAAAAATACAAAATAAAACTCTTGAGGGCTAAACTACAGCTACAGCTCCTCAATGTGCTCAATGCAGTGGTACATGCCCATAATGCTGTGGGAGAGATGCATATACAAACACCATTCCTTATGGCCCCATGCAGTGTTTTGGTAGTGCAGCCTTACAGGTTTCAGGGATAAAATGATTGGTCAAGGAGAGGCCCTCTCAAGAAGCCTTTCTGCCACCTGAACGTGAACTTCACCCAAGGTCAAAGCCTTAACTAACACATGTTGGCTGTATTGGTCTTCTCCACCAAAGAAAATTTTTCCTCATCCAGACAACACAGTAAGCTTTGGGTCACGGCTTGGTAAAACATTGCTAAGAACAAAGGAAGAGGGAGCATTAAAGAAAATCTAAGGACTCCTCTTGTATTTCAGGAACATCTACCACAGTGATTAAAACTGAATACAAATGAGCAAATAGGATTATCTATACAGAAACCACATTTCTATACTAATGAACGAGTTCTCCTGTGAGATCAGGAGCTCCTTCTAGCTTCTGCAGTGGGAGCTCCTGGTGCTGAATCTAACAACAGGACACTGAGAGCCCCATGGGATTCTCCGAGGACTCTGCAGAATCTATTATGATTCCTGCTTTTATGTCCAGGAGAATATTCTTGCAGAGTATATAAATCATGAGGGGATAGAGTCGTAGGGAAAAATAAAAAATAAAAAAAATTCAACTATGGTGAAAATCTGATTGCTCCAGACTTTCAGTTTCAGTGAATCATAAATTACAATGCTGAAGAACACTCTGTAACAAACAAATACCTAACTAGCTTAGTTTTTAAAGATATCAGTCACCTTTCATTCTTTTCAAATTTGGTGTGAACTGCAGACATTTAACATATCTGAAATAAGGTCCCAAGTTCTCAGGTCTTACACAAGAAGAATTTCGACTGCCACAGCATGTGGCAATTTACAACTGAAAAAAAAGTCTGATATGACCATTATGTTTCTTCTCTTGTCATAATGACAATAAGAAGCCATAAGATGGTTTACATTTTATTATAAAGGAAAAAAAAAAAGTCCAACATTCCCAAAAAGGATGCAAAGGTGCACAAAGTGGTCCAGGCTACTAACAATTTGCTCAAACACTAGCAGGGAGTATATAAATTCTTATTTTAGCAAAAAATATCGATTGCGTTATAACATATATGATACAATTTCGTTTGTTAACATTTCATTCGTTAACTGCACTGTACAGAAATTTGTCCATGCTAAATACAAGCCCTGGACCAGATACACAAAACAATTTCAATGCACTTTTTACATCCTATATGCACAAACATTTCTTAAGTTAAAACTATGCACACTACTTAGGCATAGTGTGTGTATGGCTTACATATTCAATGACAGGAATTCCACCTTTTGGCATGCCCTGACCCCAGGGCTTGGAGCTCGCACTGTTCCCAGCTCGATTTCAATTGCTCCACTGTCAGAAAAGAGACAGTCAACAGATATGGGAGGATGTGTAAGGGTCCCTCAGCCTAGGGTGGCTGTTTTAAGATCCCTTCTTCAGCTGGGACAAGGTGTGCCCTTGCTGAGGTTGAGCATGGTGCTTGCTGAGCTCTGGTTACATCCCTGAAGCAGCAGAGGCAGAGCACACAGGGGTCAGTCATCTGTCTGGCCTCTGCACAGAGAGGAGTGCTGCCGCCCCCACGAGTCCTCTTCAGAGCGGACCATGGCTGATTTACAAAGACTTTTGGCCAGTGAGGTAATAACCACAGGGTCCTAAACGGAGAACTGGGAGTGCAGCAACATGAGCCACCCCAGTGCCAGCAAGGCAGAAAGGGAGGATGGAAGCTTCCTAGTGGGTCCCAGCAGAGAGAACTCAGGTTGGCTGTGGCTGTGGGGGATGCCTGGGCACGCCAGGAGGGGACACGTGCAGCCCCAGGGAAGCAGAGATGAAAATGGGGTCTCTTTCTGGGCACAGTTCAGGCTGGAGGGCTCATTCTGAGGCTTCTTGCAGAGGTCACTGCCTGTGTGCTCCATTTTCGCTGCCGCTCAGAGAAAGATGTTCCGGTGTTTTCTTTTCATGGAACAAATGCTCGCAAGGATTTTTCAGAATTGATATTGTCACCTTCGCTTTTGAGACAAACCACGGTATAAGGCCTCAGTGTCACCTTCCAGTTCTGTCTGAGAAGCAACACAGTATTTTGCTGAAGTGAAGCCGTTTTCATGTCTCTGTATCTCCCACCCTACAAAACAATAAGCACCAGCTTTCATGGTAGGGCTGACATCATTGTTGATATACTACAGGACTGAGAATGTTTTCATATTTAATACTGGGTGCTATTAATTAATTTTAAAATGATATTTCAAATACTGATTTGTTCAACGCCAGTTCTCTCCATAGGGCAGCTGCTGCAGTGGGGTAGAATCATCATTCACACAGGCTGGTCAGTGTAACTCTACAACTTCCCTGTACAGTCTACATACTTTTATTTCCAGATACTTTAAGGAAGCTAACAAATAGGGCTTCTATGTTGCATGCAGCATGATTGCATGAACGATTAGCTATAACAACATTTCAGTATGACTTTCCATTTCCATTGGACGCCAGTAGCAGTGACACATAACAGCAATCCTGGGCAGATGATAAACGTGTTCTCACATGTCTCAAGGTTAATTGGAAATGTCTGGTGTCAGTGATGCAATAAAGCGAGGCCCAACTTTGGCTGAAAAAATTATTTTGGCTAGTTTAAGAAAGCAGAATAGAAGAGGAAATAGTCACAACAAATACAACTGAAAACTTGCAAGTTGTTAAATGCCTTGAGTTATCAGCTCAGGGTTTTATGTTTTACAGTTTTGATCATTTTGTCCAATCACTCTCCACAGAAACAGGATGATCCAAAACCAAGTTGACAGGTAACAGCCTGAGAGCACAGGGTAGGAACAGGTAGAGTTGTTCTTTTCTCCTGCCAGAGAGGTAAAATGAAAATTCATAAACAATAGATTTTTAATACTGCTATTTCTGTTATTTAATATACATGAATTGAGGATGTTTTACTGCATGATCATTTAGACTGACATTAAGGATTCATAGATGTAAAAGCACTGTTTTTCCCTTTTTTAGTTGTAGAAAGTGGGATGTACTGTGTCCTCATTTCAAAACTTTGTAATAAAACCACAACTGGAATAGAAAAGGAGGATAACAGTAGCACCAAGTGCATCCTAACAGTATGAACCTTTCCCCGCTATAAGAAATAAACAACAGAATTACCTGTCCTGCCTGAAATGTCAGAAGCTTTTAAGAAATAGCAAATCTAGTTCTGTATCAGTGCTTCTTTCTGCTCAGTGGCTTTTACTAGATCTTCTGTCTTCTTACAGTGTTTAGGTTCACCTGGAAGAAAAACAAAATGGATTGGGACCCTGATTGCGGAAGTTAACCTCACTAAGCTAAGAGAATCTGCACAACCCCAGACAGACATGAACTTTTACCTCCTGACTTTTTTAAGGTTAAAATGAGGCGTCAGCCACTGCTTTCTTTAATTGCTTTCTCACCAGAATAGGATTGAATTAACTAATCATTATGGTCTAATCATTATTCTCACACGGCAAAAGACAGAATGAAAGCAACAGATCACAATATGAACCAAAATATGAAGACAATTACATGATTAAGTGTTAATAAAGTGGGTTTGGTTTATTTTATCTTCCAACTTACTGAAAGTCAAAATTCACCCTTTACAGAGAAGTGCTGTTTAAATCCTCTTTAATGTAGGCTTTCAAATTGGAAGTAAGCTTCTCTCAGACAAAAAAGACGCCAGTGTCAAGTTCTACAAATTCAATTAATTCAATCAGGTAGAAGCAATGACACCAAGTGACAGAAGCAGCTTTCAAACTAAGTGATACAACATTAATTTCAAACCGACAATCATAATATTAAGCTATTGCTTAAACTATTTCAGACAAGGAAATTACAAACTGAGATAGTAGGCATGGGGAGAATGTAGCAAACTCAGAGTCTTATTTACCAACTATATAGTAACTTTTCAGCTTTAAACAGTTGATTGAGTGATCCCACCAGTGATTAATAAAGCTGAACTGAAAAATGTGAAAAAGGAAAAGAATAGAAGTCTCAAAAGTGGTGAAGATGAGCTGGAAGAATCATAAAAGTTAAAAAATAAAAATACATGCAGGGGAAGATTTTTGAAAGTCGGAAAACAAAGGTACAAGCAGCTGAAAGGGAAAGCAGATGATGTGTGATCTGAAAGGAAAATTGAAAGCTGGCAAGTTGAAGTTGAAGAAGAGGCTCACCATTCAGAAAAGAGAAAGGGAAGAACTCATGAGAATGAGAAAAAAAAGAAAATTAATAGCTATGAATTCACCATGGCTTCACTATAGACAAGAAAGATTTGCTAGTGATTTTACCCTTGATTCATTGTTTTTAATCGTGGCAGAGTGGGTGTTGCCCCCTCTGTAATGTGGTCACCAGCAGAAGTGATAGATTCCTCCAGCAGCATTCTTCACCATCTCCATTATTTTAAATAAATTTAATGTAGGTGGAATACAGACAACCAGTTCCCCAAAGGCTTCTGAAGTCTCAATATTGAAGCAACATGAACTAGAACACGAAGGACTCCAGACCATTCAGCCTGCAGTATCTTTTGGAGGAGTCTAGCAAAATTTTTTCTTATTATTATCCTTAAAAACTAAAATAGAGTTTTAGGAGTGGGATAGGAGTCATTTATGGAGGCCTTGAAACAAAATCTTGGTATGTTTAATTTTCATAAAAACAAAACATTAACTTCTAAACCAAACATAACTTTCCTCCTATCAATGCATTAGCTTTTTAATGGGATAAACTCTGCCTTGTGAATGGTCGTTAATGTCTGTTATTTTCCAGTCACTATCCCTTCCACAAGCACATCCTTTGCTCATTTACCATAACCTTAGGTCCCTTCCAACCCCCAGCATTCTGTGATTCTGTGAACCTTCCCTCCAGCCTCATCCTACACACCAGCTCAGGTGCCTTCCCTTCGTACCAGGCTCCTGATTTACTGTTGCCCTGTTTCTCTACACAGTGTGCAGCATGATCGCTGCTGACCGAGGCACCACAGCCACCAGTGCCTGCTCAGCGTGGATGAGAAGGGTCCCACCTTGGGCTGAGCACCCCAGGGCCACTGCCACGCTGAATGGCCACGAGCATTTGCACGGCGTCGATGATCCCCACATCCCACTTGCGTGACCATAAATTAAACTGGAAAATTGTTGATGTGGATCTGCCCACTCCTATTTAACCCAGTTACCCTGCTGAAGCTTTCAGCTATTGGCTGCTGCTGCTCTTGAGTGCTTTGTACAACTGGATAGTCCTCTGCGGTCATACAGAGTGAAGTTACTGATAATCTTTTTTATCACAGATATATTATCTCCTTTACATTTTGATATTAAGGATTAATGTGGCTATCATCATGAGTGAAAAGTTAAAGTGTGCCAATTAGCATTTATAAATCACTGAAACATGCAGTTGTTTAATTAAACATAAGCAGACTTTAAAATTAATGTTCTAATTAATAAATCACTCGAGAGAAAAGGAAAATCATCACTTAAAAAAAATCATCTTATAAGAGTTCCACTTAATCTTGTAACATTCAATTAAATGAAAGTGAGATGATGGAAGTGACAAAGGTATTGTGGAAAAAAATTACATTCAGTCATAACTGGAGTTCTTTTCCCCTCACACTGACCAGAACCCATGGTAGAGCTACTCCTGATAGTAAAATGCAATAGTTAACAAGAAGTATGCCTACAAAGAGATGTGGTACAAGGAGAGGAAAACAATCCCCGTTTTCTCTTTTTTTAATGGGCAAGTCCCTCCTCATAGTACATCCAATCATCCAGTGACAGTTCCCAAGAATGCAGACAGACCATCTTCCCATGTCCCCCATCTCTGTTACAATTCAGTTGCTTACCCACAGAAAACCGAAATGAGTTTTCTGCTTTCTATAAACGACAGAACAATGGCAGCTAATAACTCTACTTTCAGAAGCAGGGAAAAAATGTAAGGTCATGCGTATGCTACCTTCTGCTTGCTTGAAGTGACACTCCACTGGAAATATCTGACCCTGGTTAGAGTCCTGTCAGGATCCACTGACCATCAACAAAGGTGCAGAAGAGGGGAGATGCTACCCGTGCTATATCTTCCTTCCGTGCCAAAAGCTACTCGGCACACTCATCCCTCACCATCACACACATCACTTATACAGAGAAAAAGGAGAGTGGAGTGAGAAAACAGAGATTGTTGTACTCCTTGCAGTTGTGGGCCTTCTATGCAGGCCGCAGCAATGAAACTCTTGCAAAAACACTAATATTAATTAACTGAAGTCAGACCACGACAATGACAGTTTAATGGATTCCCTCTATTTAGAATGATAGTGAATCATTTCACCTCTGTGAAAGAGAAATGTGAAACATTTTAGCCTCAGTTTTCCCTTTGGTATTGAGCATTGCAGACTGTTTCAATACTAAATGCCTGCGTTGCCTTTCTTCTGAGCTATCTTTAACTGGTGGCACAATCTCTGCAGTGGTACACATACCTACCGCTGAAACCCAGCAACAATTCATTTTATCTCAGAGAGCCAGGGCCTGGGTCTCACCATGTGTTTGTTGAAAGTCTGTTGCCCCAGCCCCCGTGCATTAAAGTGATGTAAATGCCCACACCATACCTTTTCAATTGGCAAGCCCAGAAAAAGCCCACTGTATATGTTATTAATTTATTTATGGAATAGTTGAGAAATTAATATTTGGTCTCCCCTGCAGTTTATTAGAAGCATAAAGTTCTGTGAAAGAGTCAGTGTTGACTTCAAATATTGTCATATTTCAATAAGATAGATAGGTAGATAGATAGACGGATAAGTTTCTCATTGGCTGAAAGAATATGATGACACAGTCTCTCTATAAATCATTTCAAAAGACCACAAAATATTAAAAATATTTTTTCTATGACATTTAAATACTGGGAAAATGCAAGAATGTTATTAAATTTAAACTATACATCAAACTATTTAATGACATAAATTCAGAATACAGACATCGTGACTCATCAACAAACCCCTACAACAGAAGAAGGCTCAAAGGAGACAGGCTGAGGCAGTGTGTCCATCAAGGTTAAGAGACAATGCAACGGGTGACTGACCAGAGCTGTTTGCAAAGCAAGCTGGCAATCTCAACACAAAGTGGAGTGGAGAGTGGCTTTGGTTTAGATAAGCACTTATGTCCACTGACTATATATTGCAGCTGAGGGGATCAGCCAGCAGTGTAGACGTTTCTCCTTGAGGTCTTTAGAAGAGCATAACTGTCTCCCTGAGTTAGCCAGGGCAGCGTGGAGAGAATGAATACATGACTCAACCCAATCTAGAGTATAAGAACTAAGCAACTAGCAAAATAATTTTGGAAAACGCAACAGGCTTGAGCTGGCTTCAAACTGAGTACGCCTTACTGGTGACTGGGGACACCCAGTGGCGTGATGGTGAGCATCTTCTAGAGACTGATAGCGGGATCCTCATGGGCATTGGGATAGAGCCGAGTATTGCAATTGCTCTATTTTGCTAAGTGCAACTTACATTCATAGTATGCTTTCAGTATATTTCGTATTACTCTGCCAAATTAGAAATCCAATGAAACATCAACTATCTTCAGATAGGTAAACTTAATATTAAACTTTACATCCTTCATGTGTGGAATACCTAAAAGAACCTGGTCAGACATTATTGGGCTCTGACATTAATAGGCTACAGAAATCAGGCAAAACCTTCATCAAGCACTCCATTTACCTGCGTATTTATCTATGCTGGAAAAAGAACATAAATAATCACTGAAGGAGATGGATTAGAGTAAATTTAACACACTGCAGTGAACTGATGTTTCACAAAAAGTGACAACTAAAAATACCTTCAAATATCAGATGCCGTTAGAAATAACATCTAACCAGTATGCTTATTCTCTGCATAGTAGCACTCTACTAAAAATTTGCTATAGTGCAAATCAGAAATGCAGCTTCACTTTGTGGTTTTCTAACTTGAGGGACTGTGAATTACTTAGGAGGGGATCCATGAAAGGTTAATGAGACTAAAAGGGATGCAAACTGACTTTCTGTAGCTTAAGCTAGCTGACCAGGGATGCACATTTCCACTGGAAAAAAATTAAGGATTCACAGGTCTAAATAGGTGAAAAGTCACTATTCTAGAATGCAAGATCTAAGGAATTTGGAATGCATAAATTCTCTGAATTTCCTATGACAACACCATTTTGACAATATAATTTCCTGTGACAATATAATTTCCCATGACAACATCAAGAACTGGTGACTACATCTGTTCACAAACCGTATCAGATGAAGTTTTCAAACTAATTTGAAGACCTATTCAGAACAGAATTTCACAGTGACTGGGCATGTGTTTGATCAACGGTGTGAGCAGTAGCCTCTGCTTTTTATACACTCACATCAGCAGCACAGCTTGTAGTAAAGGAGAGCTTGGAGAAAAATCCTTTCAGTGCATTTCACTTGCAAAGATCTTTATATAGCAGGTTAAGATTTTCAGGCAGAAGTTTAGCTTCAGTACAGAAACCTACATTTCTATGCCAAAACTTTCCGTCACAATCAGCAGCAACTGAGATGTTTGCTGCAAAACCTACAATGGCTCAGATGTAAGTTGGAGGATCTGAGTAACTGAGTTTTGGCTCACCACTCAGCTGCTGGATTTGCCTTAAAAATAATTTGCTGCTTCACTTCCTACATGATTAATCACTTGATTACGAAAGGATGTCTCTTGCTATATCTCCCCTTTTTCCATGATTTGTTTTAAGTCCACAGATTATGCACCACTGCCTCTATAGTGATACAAGAGCTAAGCAATGTCATCGTAGGAGCTCTGGCTTTTAGTTCAGGACCTTATCAATACTGCCTATTTCCACAAAACAACTAAATCAATCTCTTATTTCAGTTTCATTATCTATCTGAACTCTTTGAATATTGTCATCTCTAGTGAAGGGATATCCTTGGGTTGGTGGAATTCACGTTATTAAGTCATTTTGACCATCCTCAAGAAAAAAAAAATAGCTTCCAGATAATTTTTGCCCTTGGAAATACCCTATTAAAAACTCAATCACTTCTTATCCTTTTTTTTTTCAGTTTGAAGTGTTAAAATACAAGGCATTCTGTAGTAAATTCCCTGCCTTAGAAAATGAAGGAGATTAGCTTTTAATAACATAAGAAGTTTCTGTTCTTGTTGAAAAGGTGGAATGTAAAGATTGGCAAGGCAACAGAGTGCACTAACTGCATGCTGAATTGAATAAGACCTCTCAAACAGCACTTTTTTTGGTCAGCCCTCTCAAGACCCCCAAGGACAGTTACAACACAACTGCTACAGTTGCAGTTTTGTCTACTGTGTTCCTCATCCAGGAGTGGGGACACTTTTCTAAGGCACTTAAATTTCAAGTTGGGCTTCAATACAAACACTGGTGTAAAAAAATACATGTCAAAAGACAAAAATGTCAGTTATTAGACAACTTCAATTGCTGTGAAATTAATTTTAGTATAAATATTTTGATTTATGACCCTAAATTAACCATCTGTTATTTCTGATGGAAAAACACTGTCAACAGTAAAAGCACAGAGCGCTGGAATGCAGAATTCTAGAATAAGTGGGAGTTCTCCATAAAAAGCATTTTTGAGAAATACGCCAAGTCATACACTTACGTCTAAGCTAAGTCTTCTAAGCACTTCTGTGTTGCTGCTCAGAAAACGCCATACTTCTGGCACAGTATCGCAAGGCTCACTATCATAAAAGCATTAGTGATTTCAGCATTTTAATTAGAAGTGAGGAAAAGAAGTATCATTATATGCCTTCATTATTCTTATTATCCTAATACCTCAAAGCTTATTCTAATAACTAAATTCAGAAACTTCCTATTGCCTGGGCATCTTGCCCTTGACACTCCTCTACTATCACCCGATACTAAATCATATTCAGCTTGTGATAAAATACTTCCATTCTGAAAAAGTATTCAGACATTGTAGGGGTTTTCTGGCTGCTCTGTTTGTCCTGCAAACTAGTCAGGAGACTGATCCTTCTCACTGAGAGAATGGCACAGTTCCATGCCTACTACTCTTAGCAAATTCCATCTGCATGAAGTTAACTCTAAAATTCACATGACATTTAGTACAAAGGACATGGTTTACCAGATAATAATCATATTAGCTGTCTAAACTAAGGGGAGTGTATTTTAATAGCAAAAGAATAATTACCTATTCAAAGGGAAAATGTTACAGTCTGTTTTGAAAGTTCACCTCATTCTCCAGTAACAAACTGCTACTTAATTGCAAATACTCATCTTTAAATTACTTTAAAATAATTCTTCCAGTTTAACTAAAGGTCTTGGTATTTTATGTAAAAAAAAAAATCAGTTAGATACCAAATAGCTAATATAAATAAGATGATATCTGTTTATATCATAGAGCTTTTATTTGATGGTTTCAGGACACTACTGTTTTTACACACACCTAAAGGAACTCTTTTATGCTGGTGGTTTGTACAACACCTTACTCTGGGATTTTACATTACTGCCAAAGTTTGATAGGGAGATACCAGACACTGCTGCAGCTTCACCCTGGACAGCTTCGTTAGATTGACTGGTGCTCTGTGATGAAGTATTACCATTCAGTGGGTCTGTATTCTGTGTTTCTTGCTGGGCATCGGTGAGATCTTTCTGGTTCGGATCAGAGTTAGTGCATTTTTCTGAGTTGGATTCATCACTCAGAGAAGTGTCGAAAGAGACTACTTGTAGGACGATGGATCTGGGAGGACAGGTTGTACCATCACTTCCCTGACTACTCTCATTTTGTATCCTTGTTGTCTCTTCCTGTAACTGTGCATCTGTGGAATTTCTGCTTTGGTCTTTTTCCTGTTCACCAACATTTTTCACAAGTTCTTCTACAAAGAGGGAACAAAATATGTGAATTAGATAAGAAGGATATGCCACAATTGTTTGATTTCAGACTACTGACTGATAGAGCTGCACACAGGAACATTGTGAACATTGACTTTCTGCACAAGGACATGTGCACCGGTGTGTTTAAGAGGGGTCAGATTCTGCTCCCGAACCATAGTGGTCTGCGTTCTGGTTTGATCTCTAATTTGTACCTCTATTTTTTGGCCATGATACACAGCAAGGAGCATCATCAGACACATCGGAGGATGTGAGCAGGAGGATCCCATGTTGCAAGCATGTCACCACCACAGGACTGAGAAGAGCAGGAAGGACACACAGAAGAGCACCTTGCTGGGAATTGGGGGAGGCATCCGAAGTGAAAGGAAGCCATGAAGGCCTATCAGTCTGGAAAAGTCCAAAGTGACAGCTAACACAGAGCTTCAGCCGGAACAGACTTAGAGAGGTTACACACATGCAGTCCAGTACTGCTGTCATTACAGCTAGTGGCACATACAGAATGGCAACGAAGTATGAGGGAAATTAAGCTTCAGGGGTCAGCAACTACAGAGAAAATAATGCTTGTGGAAGGCTCTACTCCTTGCTCTATTGCAGAGACTTGGAGAACAGTACAAATGAAATGGCAGCACAGAAAGGTGGTACCAGGAGGAACAGGAAGAGAGAGAAAACAGAGAATAGAAAACTTGTGATGGAGCGAAAAGTCTGATAAAAGATGACTATCATCTTCATGGAGGGCCTATTTCTCTTGCTGTTAGAATCTGTTTTGTAAAATCAGATTTTAGAATCTGTATGCTATTATAGAAGATACGAAACACCATGAACTCAAAAAACGAGAGCATTGCAGTTTGAACAACACCTTATTAAACAGTTGCATGATATTACATGAGATTTCTAACTTAGCTGTCCACACCGTATTAAGGAAGGAAACCAAGCACTGAGATATTTAATGAGTTCAACTGGCACTTCCTAGAAAATCTGATTGTGAGTGACCAGTCCAAATCCAGACCAAAAGTGAATGCATAGGACAAGTGAAAGAGCCCAGTCTGTAATCACATTTCTACTGTAGCGAGCATTTGGCATGTCCATCACCTCACTTTTCCGAATCCTAAGAAAGCTCTCCCTGAAGTACAATTTGGTCTGTGAAATGGGACAGGAAAGAACACCTCCAAATCTGAACTGATGTGCAGAATTATGGAATAGTTAAATAGTTTCCTTCTTTTGTCAGTTCTTATAATTTCTGTCACACTTCCAAAAATAATGAGAACTTTCAAATTTGAGCTATTGTTAAGCCATTTATTTTTTTTAAACTTTAGAGACCTGCTTGTTTTGGACACCAGATCTTTTGAAACTTCAAGTATTCTTTTTCTACAGACTTCAATGCAGCTCTTACAAAGAAATGGCTGGGCTAAAGACATTAAGAAATATATATATATGCGACTTGAAGAAAATCTGATGTTCAATCTAGATATGTTAATTAAAGCATCTATCACTCATGGTATAATCTATACACATAAGGATTTTGTCCCAAGGAATTGATTTATGTGCCATATTTGCCTCCATACAGCAGAGCCACAAACATTTTTCCTTAACTTTAGTCTCTCTTCTGCTGGGGTCTGTATTATCATTGCTAGTGGTTTTGCTCTCTCTGTTTTAACTTGGTAAAAGTACCCAGAGTTGGGCCTGTTAACATTTTTTTAACTGTTAGGTATTGTTTTCTTTACAAGAACCCCAGTGTTATTCAGGAAAATTTGTGTGAGTTCACTGTAAAACAAATGGCTCCTCTTAACTCCTCTTTGAGAGGTGACTCAATCTTATTTCTCTCCTATGTAATTCTGTGTCACTTCTGAACTCCTGCCTTAAGTCACTGTCCTCCATGAGAAGCAACAATAGCATCTGATATGTAAACAGAAGTGTTGTAAATGTGTTGTTTTTCTTCCCTTGTGTTTAGGCTGAGCTGTTGATAAAATAATTGTAATGCATAGTTTTGCTTGGAAAACTAGCAGGAGTGGTAAGGCAATAGCCAAATTTCAGAACAGCTGAAAAATTCTGGTACTTGGTGCACCTACAGAAGATGTGTTATCTCATGAAGGTGACTTCTTTCCTCTCCCTTTTTCACCAGATACTACTCTCTTTTCATTAAGTCATCTTTTTTTTTTTTTTGTCTTAATATGTCCCTGAAAATTGAAGTAAATTCTTTATGGTCTTATTTTTTTTAATTGTTTGCTGGAGTGAATGGGAACACTGAATTCTTGTCAGTCCAGCAAAGGACTAAACTGTCCACAAAACACTACCACTGTTACCCAGCTCACTCTCAAGCACTGTGCTGTAGGACTCTGTGGTCAGCAATGCATTGCTGCTCCACTGCTGCAGAAACTCTGGTGAGCCTGCATTATCAACTACAACACTCATTTCCATCAGCTCAGTTATGTTACTGTCTGTGTATGCAGCCACACTTTCAGGACATGGTCTAGTAAGTGGTGAGGAAGTTTTTCCGCATTTTGGTACTTTCTCTTCAGTATACGTCCATCAACTTTCTTTCCCTGGCATTTCTGTAATAAGAGTATTCAATTACTATCATCTACACAGAACAGGGCTTGTAAGATACCTTTTTGTCTCCAGCAGCTGCACCACTTGAGCATATACTGACTTAACAAGAGGGAGAGGAAAAATATAAAAGCCATGTGTAAACAGAACACCTTGAATCAGGTAATGGCAACAACTGCCAGAGTGCTAAATCCCACTAAAGCAAATGTCTGCTGAATTACTTTGGTATTTCCACTGTCTGTATTGAAAATAAGCTACAATAACTTACCCTTACAGAAAGATATAATAACATCAAAGTATGAAGAATTAGCAAACTACTGAATTAGAGAGGAAAGCTGTTCATCTTCACTAAGAATTAAATTACTGGAGGAATCTGTAATGAAGAATGCTGCTGGATGTTACTGACTCTCTGTATATGACCACAAACTTTGATTTCTAGGTCTGTTTGCTTTCTTTTCTACTGTAAAACAAAACTCCAGAAAGCAATAACAAAAGACCCAAACCAAGATAACACAGGAAGGAACTGCACCTTTCTAAAAGACATGTTCTCACATCAGCTATTTTAAAGACAAGAAAAGAGAACAGGCAACAAGCGCCAAAACTTCGCAGGAAGACAGGACTGATCCCAGTGCCTCTGGGACTCCTAGGTTTAAAGACATGTCTAAGACTTGCCAGACAATCACGATTTTTCCCAAGCAACATGACATTTTCAAACCCAAGAATACACTGCAGTAACTCATTAAGTTATTCAGAACTGATCCCTTCCACTTTCAACTCTTCATACAAACTTCACCACAGATGAAGTATGTAAAACTAATGCAAACTCTTTAAGCCAGTGGTGCTTAAAATCACGGTATTACATTGCATAGAAAATGTAGCACATGCTTAAGTAGCTATCTAAACTTTTTACTAAAAGATTTGGTTAAAAACAATTCGCAAGTTTATGTTTTCCTGGGGTGGCTACCTCCACCTTGTACTTCTCTTTTGTTGCTTATCTGTAAGCCTAGGGGCTTGAATGCTGGGACTTTTGGGACGGGGGGAAAGGAGGAGCATGCTGCTCCGAGCCTACTACAGGGAAAAGTTGTTTCACGTCATGTAGTTTGTCATGTGCAGAGGCAGGCCAGCTCTCTGGTGTGTACTCCAGGGGGATATAGATAACACGTTCCATCATCAGGTTCAGTTATCACTCAGTCTGTGATTTACCAGATACTACCCATAAAAAACCATTTCATGCTACACTTAGCTCAACTGATTCATTGCATTTCCTCAAACCATGGTGAAAAATTCACCTTTTCCCACTGTTCTTAAAACTTTTCTGGGTTAGCTCAAAAACTGCTTATGACCTTAATGTTTTAGCACTGCAATTAAAATCAGTCACTGGTCCTAGATGGGACTCCTTTTAGCCCCTTGAATTTATTTTTCTCCAACAGATTAAACCAGCCCATTAGGGTAGATTTCATGTGTCAAACTGTCAGTCAGTTTCTGTGACTGGCACACATGTCCTCCCACCCCCTGCCCTTCCTAAGGGCTGCTAAATCACATTAACATGCTATCAGATCACCACTCTCAGATTTTCACATTTCAGCAGCTGTTACCCTCTTCTTATTAGAGAGTCTGCAGAGAAAATCTTCAGACAAAATGGAACCAAACCCTGTGGTTATTGTGACTTGAAGTATGCAGGACTGAAAGTGCCCGAGGGGAGCCCACAGGTACCATGCAGAGGTCTTTCAGAAGAGACATTTGTTATTCAAAGTTGCTGCTCACAGTTTAAAAAAAAAAAAAAAAAAGGCCACTCTACTCCAAAGATGTAATAGCTGTCATTTTTTCATATTTTTCCCATCAAAATTAAGCACAGGACAGTGAGAGAGCCTCATTCAGCCTCATATATTTTCATCCCATGCTGAGGCGGTCAGCCATCCCAGACATCCACCTTTGAGCCCTGCAGTACAGTCCACTGCCAAAAGGCACGAGGATAAGATTTGCCACTGATCACCTTCCACACAAATAATGCAACCTTTGGTCAGGTCCTGTTATGGTTAATTCTTCCGAAGGATAAAATGGAAACAACAAGTAATGCTGCTGTTGTATTATCCTGAAGATGGAGACATTAGCATGGTTCAGTGATGGGCCCCATTCGACTGGTGGCTGGACCCTTGGTCTCTATGCTGCGTTCCCTCAGGTTATTATATGACCTGGGGTGAGTGTCTTAAGCTGTCTGTGTCTCTTTTTACTCAACTATAAAGTGAAAACAACAATACTTACTAATCTCTGTAACTTTATTTACAATGACAACTACTGTACAGATGATAAGCATGATTACCTGTCTACACCCTTTTATTAGTAAATCTTTAGAACACTTTTATAGAAGAAAATAAGCATGAAGAAATAAGCATTTAGGGATAAGGAGTAAATATTGTATTTTTAAAATATTAAATCATTGTGTTACAATTTCTCTGTGTTCTAAGAACTGCCTCATGAATGATCTTATATAAAAATTAAAGCTTTCCCAACAAGTTATGTGCTTCTTATGGCTTTCTCAGTAAGTCAATACCTTCCAGACCTTAAAGTCCAGTTAGCAAATGTTTTCTTTAATGAAAGAACCTCTCAGACTCATTTGATCACCTTTACTGTCTATTTGCTACAACTACCACAACTGCAAATAGCAGTAGCCATCAATGCTATGTGTTGGGAAAAAAAAGCGCAGGATGGAATCATCTCTTTATCACTGTGTTGAGTTGAACAAAGACACATTATCCGGTGATTAGGGGTTTGGAATATTAATTAAACATCAAGACTTTCAAATTAGAATCCCAGATGTTTGATCATTATGGTAATTCCCTGTTAACAGGATTCCCTGAAAGGCCTGAGAAACATTCCTCTAATTCTCCAGTGGTGAAAGGTTGAGGACCCTTAGGCTATAAAGCACTGAGCTCCTCTGCATCAATTATACAAGACATGGTCTTTTTAGCAAAATGGAGCCATCTTATTTAGTGAGCCGTCTGTTAAGGAAGCTCTCAAACAGCTGCCTAGGTAGATAAACGCTTTCCTTACTAACATAGGCTTTTTCGAAATAAAGAACACTGTTCCATGCACAAGCTGCTTACTCTAAACCAAGTCTCAAGAGCAACTATATTTTCAGGGAGCAGCACCAGTACCTCCAGGAAATCTGCCCTGTCAGCAGCACTGTACGTGTATCTCGGTCTTCTGCTCCAGCTTGTCTGGGCACAGGAGTCAGGTTACCGTCTTCAGCCTTTGCTAAGGGAGCCCTTGCTCCAGCTGAAATGCATCCAACCAGTGCTTCATGAGTAGTTTCATCCTCAAAAGGTGAGAAGCTGGAGGGTCAGGCCAGAGCAGAAGATCGAGACACACTGACAGGAAATGATAATCATATGCGTTGTTGCTAGATTCCTTTCTATATTGCTTGTGCATCGGCATCACTACATTTTACAGAGAAAACTTCTCCTGAGCCTGTGAACTAATCCAGGAATAACGCCGAGTGTTAGCAGAGCCCACTGACAAGAATGCAGATGGTTCTTTTAACAGCATGAGTACTATTTGTCACAGTCAGCTCAGGAAGCATGTTTGGAGATCTACGCTAGCAGCAAGTCTGCTTACTACCACAGCACACTGTCCTCATACACGTGACCTCCTCAGTGCACACAGTTTGTCATAAATTACTGTGCTGGGAGCAATGATAGCAGTAATGCCACTCCTTTCACCCAGTAGTGATTTACCCCTGATATTTCTTCCCTCAGTATGTGCTCCTACTACATATGAATAAAACAGAACTTCATACATATGCCCAGAGCTACCTAAAGACTTTTCATCAAGCAACAGAGTCAGAGAAGATAACATGAGATCCAAATAGATGGAGCAAATTATCTGAAGTGCAAGGTCTCAGGCTGTTCACTTACAAGCTTTATCAAACTTGAGTGCAATCTAAAAGGAATTTCAAGTGGAAAGGGAACGTATTTTAATATGTTTCATTCTTTCCTAGATGTTAATTTCGCACAGTCTGATTAAGGATCTTTTCATGATGCATCTTCAGAGCAGATACATTGCTGATCTGGACCAGTTGGGGAAGATTGTTTCTCCCATTATGTAACAAGGAACTTAGGTGCTACTTCACATAGTGCTCTATAGAGGGCTGTGTTCACTTAGTGAAAACTTATTTCCAGCAGCCCTTGGTGTCCACATACAACCTAAGTGCCCACATATTCCACCCCACCTGAATGGAAAATAAATCTTAACTTTCACAAAACCTATATAACGCCCCCACAGCTTTTATTAAAAAGCTTACTGTCTGTGTACAAAAAAACCATAAATCTGTACTCAAAAGTATTCGCACTATTCGCAACATTCCTCTAGATTCTATTCAGGCATCGTGAAGTTCTCCACACTATGCTCCAGCCAACTGCAGATAGGCACAATTTTCTATACATCTCTTTCTTGTTCTCAGAGGTTTTGCAAAATAGATTCAACCACAATCACACGGAGTCGATATTGCTCATCAATTGCTGACCTCAACACTAGCTATTTCCACTTACCCATCAGTTTTCCTAATGTACATTCTACTGTAATTCCATAACTCTGTTCAGGAAATATTTAGACATACTTCATTAGTCAAGTTGATGGAAGACAAGAAGGGCATCCTAGAATACGGACAAACACAATCTCAACAAAGTCCATGGAGTTTGTAGCATTAATAGCTCTTTTTTTCACAGTAGAAAGCATGCTCAGATTTTCCTGGATCTTGCTGGGCCTCACATTAATATTAATTGTATAAAGAAACAACCATTTACCCAGAAGAATTCTTAGAACTTTTGCTGCGAGAAGCTTTTTGTTTTCAATATCTGTCAACAGCCCAGTAAAAAATAAAGTAAATGTATCAGTAATTTGCAGAACACTACAAAGCACTGGAAATATCTCTGATAGCACTGTACACCTCCAAAACAATATACCAAAAAGGTGATGCACCAAAACCACAATGGTTAGTTACATGCATTCAGAAATGGCACAATTCCAAATAGCAAGTTCTCCATTCTCCCATACTGAGGGACCTTGCCTGTAGAGAGTCCAGGGCTACTTGGTTTCTGCAGGCTGTAGCTAAGCGGTCTTGGACACCCTGACGTTCTGTTGCTACTACTGATCAGCACAAATTAGCAGCTTTGTACTTTTTACCAGTCAGTATTAGTTGGACAATATCAGAAGAGGCAATTGATCATATGAAGCTGCTCATGAAGAAGAGATAATACTAGTTAAATCTCCTCCTCAGCGCTGCCCCTTCCAGTAACTCCCAAGTCATTCTCAGAACAGATGTATGGAAGCTTGTTCTTACTTCATATTCTCCTAATAAGAATATTAATTTGCAATTTAGCACTAAATTAGGATTTAGCACTGCCCACGGTGTTTTTCTATCTTTTCTGACACCTCTTTGAGAAAAAAGAAGGTGCTTTGGATGATGGGATGACTGACACAGGGTTCCAGGGTACCATTCCTTGCAGTCAATGTCAGGTCATGTACAGCAAGACCAGTCCCAGCAGTGAAATGTTACACTGAAATATGCCAGGCGCTTGCTTGGAAACAAAACTGACTGTGGACAAAATATTTCTGCATGGCATTCACCTACCCTGGATAAAGGTTATAAATCACGTTCCCCAATTATCCCAAATCATTTCACTCAGATAACTAACTCAGGTATGGCTTATGAACTAAGGTGCTTGATGCAAGTTTGGCCTTATTAACTATCAACTGGCAAATGAGGAGTCATTTTTTGCCTTGTTTGGGTCTAATATACGATGTGATTGCCCAAATCTCTAGATCCACAGGGTCATTTAAATAATTGCCTACAGCATAGTCCCAGGAAGTCTGCGTTACTGGATTCTGTTGTATACAGTGGGGAATAAATAACATTTCTAATAGCAAAATACAACTTTTATGTTTCTTAAGGAATGTGGCAGCACATATGACTTTGAATTGTTTATTTTGGCATTTAAAGAAGATGCCAGTCTCAGTTATGATTAAATGTGCAAGAATGCATGTTTCTAAATCAGACTGCTAAAGCTAAGCTGAGGACCACAGACCCTTGTTGTATAGGCTGTAAGTTTACTACACCTAAATTTTTGACCACCTACATCTCTTTATACCTCCTGGGAGAGCAAAACGGGACCATCTAAACAAACATTAAGACATAAAATATACGAATACAAGACAACTGTGTATTTTTATAGAATGAAGGAAATTAAAAAGTGAAAATAGAGGAGATCTTAGGGAGTAACCTACAAAAACATTCCACTTAGCATATCATACCTTCTACTGCTAATTCTTTCCATCTTTCTTTGTTTGCTTGAATGATCTTCATCAAGTTGTCCTTAAAGCTTGTCAGGTCTACAGTTGCTAGAGAATTTTCTGTGTGAGTTCCTCCATCACTTGTACTTTTAAAAGTGGGTCGTCTTTGTGCTTCAGGATTGCTTACTGCTCCCAAACTATTTTGGCTGCAGAAAGGAAAAAACCCTAAATTATTAACACAGGCAATTTTATTAATACAGAAGCAGTTAATTTAAGTCAAATTCCTTAGGACCCATATGCAGTCACTAACTTGAAAGAATAGTTTTCACTGAAGAGTGCCTAAGACACGAGACATTTCTTCAACTCATGAAGCGGTAACCTGGGACCAAATCTTTTTCTAGGGAATTCTTGAAAAAAATCTGACAGCCAAAAATACATTACTTTGAAGTTGGTTCTTGAAAGAATGTTTATGTAGTCATTTTGAAGCAGCTTCTTAGCTGTGTTTTTGAACAGTGAATGGTATCTTTGTAGAAAAATATCTGATTATTATTTGTTAACCCATTCAAAAAAAGCAAGATATGAAAGTATGTGACAGGTAAGTTTAGCTTCAGCAGAGAATTCTCTTCCAGGTACATGCCTTCAGGCATAGTCAAAGCAGGATTTTGGTCACTCAGTTATGCTGCACAGTTTATCTCATTGCTATCAATGACAGATATTAAAGTTCATACAAATGAGTTTCCACTAATCAGAAAATACAGTTGCAGTGAATATATCAGTGAGAACTGCACAAGAAGAGTTAACTGTAATTTTCTCATGCACCAAAGATGTTGAATGGCATAAAATGGAAATAACAGGCTCTAATTCTCATGTTTTCCAGGCACCACAGTGAATGCCACACCATATACTCATAGCATGCAGCCAGTAGTGTTTGTGCAACTCTGCTGGCTCAGACATCTCTGTGTCATGCTATAGGCTTTCCACTCTCTTCACAAGCATAGCTCTTGATTCCATACCAAGAAAAAGTCCCTTTGTCCCCCACCCCACAAGAGGAAATTTTGATGGGTCATAAGCCTTTGTTCATCTACCGCTCAGTGATGAACATCAGCTGAAAAAGAAGCCTGGAGCTACTAATCACTTGCATTTGCTACTAATCATGCATTTGTGAAGAAATGAGCAGGTAAACAAATTTGTAAATAATGCCTTAGTTTAGCACTGTTTCCCAGAACACTAAGAACACTATCATAAATACCCAGTTCTAGTTACTCCTAGTAACCAAAATACATGTAAATGCATGATCAGGAAAGAATTAGGTTTATCATTTTGCTATTAAAATCTAATACATAGCAAATGAAAAGTTGTCCTGCAGAGTTACCATATTAGTAGCCTAAGTGAAAGCTCAAATTACAGTTTTAAAATTCAAAAAAGTGTGGTAACAGAGGTAATATTTGTAAAAGCAGCATCAGAGTATGAAACAATGCTTTCAGTGTGGAGTCACTCAGATAACACTGTCTGACATAGCTAGTTTGTTTTATTGACAACTTCTATCGTGATGCAAAAAACAAAAGCCTGATGGGTAACGCTCCACCCTCATCTCACTTACAGTGTATTTAGGTCTCTCAAGTGGAATATAAGTGGAATCAATTTTGTCTTAAGTGTATATATCAAATAATACTAACAGGGAAAGGTGAAGGAGGATAGTTACCTACAGCATAACAAAAGACTGAAAAAAACCTGAAACCACCTTCACCACCTCCCCTTCCAATTGTTTCTCAGAAAGAACTTTTATGACTGTCAATTAAAATTATACCGAAAATAAGAGAACTAGGAACTTCAGTAATCTATTGCAAAGATGAGACTCAAAGGAAAAAAAATGTTATTAGACATGCTGTAGAAAATCAACTTTATATTTTATATACATGTATTCTGCTCGTTACTGTGTTTTTGCCTTTTTATACGCATGATCGCATTCCAGTCAATGGAGTAATAGCATATTGCAAATACAACATAGCACCACATGGGGGCAATACTGGACAGCTGTTACTTTTCCAACTTTCTGAGAATGAAATCATGTTTATGTTAGTTGAATAACTAAGCAGTGCATTCATACCTGTGTGTCCCAAATGCAGGACTTTCAGATTTTGACGCTTCCTCTATAAGAGGCATAACAATTTTCTCCATTGAGTCCGTAAGAAGAGAAAACGTTGGTTCTACTATGAAATCAATGAAACCTAAAGAAGAAAAAGAGAGAATATCAAATTTTACATTTCTATAGCTCTCAAATCTAAGAAAAAATACTTGATGTCAGGCTGATTTTCTGACTGCAGTCCTGATTCAATATACTAGATGCCACTAGTATAATCCTGAAAAAATCCCCATAGCTAAAACTAAAAACACCTGAAGCTGTACAGATATAACTAGATATTAGTAATTATAGTTTTCCATTAATTTTTCTTGTAAATTGTATGCACTGCCGAAAACATCTACCATTTGAAATTAATAATAATTACTGAATAGACGGGAAGCTAGCACTGAGCCAGGAGGCTAGAAGTCATACTGCCCTTTTTACCATTCAGAGCTTCTTGCCAAGGAGTTAATATTTCAAACTGCTGTTTATTATTCGGTGGAGGTAAAGTGCTATTTCACAGTGTGTAGGAGTGTACTGTCAAATCAGTGAAGAGAACAAGTAATATCCTTAGGAGACAGCATTCATCCCACAGTTCTGAGATGTCAGCTCTGAACAATGTCTTTTACATTTTAAAGTGCTCATCAAGGTATGGAATGACACAGTGAGAGAATGAAGCATTATTCTCTGCTGAGCACTTAATGGAAAAAAAATATGCTAAAACATGAGCTTAGCAAGGGATTTTCAGATGTCTTCATACTGTAACCATGTAACACAGCACAAAGGTGAGCAACAGTGCTTCAGCCTAGAATCTAGCTTCCCTCCTGCAATAGGTAATGACACTCAAGCATTTTGCCTTTCAAGTCCCAGTGAAATGGAATAAAGGACATTTTCAGTGACAAGATCAAACATAAAAACATGCTTCAAGTCAAGGATAAGATGCTGTCATCTATACAATCTCTCACTGAGTACTGTGTTCACTCACATAAAAGACAGAGTTGCTGGTATGTCCTTGTGATTTTTACCAATTTTTATTTCCTTACTATTGCTGAGGAAAAAAGTAATAGAAAAAGCCAAGACTTACATTCCTGAAAACAGGAAACTGAAGTTTGGCCACCATTGATCAAAATGCAATTAGGATTGACAGGAACAGAACGGAGTGGTCCTTGTCAATTCGAGGAGGTTTGACCACATGTAGTTTGACCCCACCACACTGATGGTCTTAACTGCAGTATAAAGATCTGATGTATGAATTAGCTTTAAGTTGAGATGTATCCACAAAGCAGTACCAGGCTTTCAGATTGCAGGAGAGACAGACCTGCAAGTTCTTGAGCAAGAGTCAATCTGTCTGAGGATAAAATTTCCCAAACTCTTAAGTCTACAATAAAATTTGGGCTTATGTTCAGTACCTTGGTTAATCCCTCCCCTACCCCTCCTTGGACCACACATGATGAAATTCTTTCATGTTCTTTTGAGATGAGTACATTTCTGCTCTAGGAGCATATGAGTTTGGTGAACAGATAGGTACAAAGAAATACCTTCTTTAGGATGGCATTTGGAACATTCAATGATGATGGCATTTTGAAAATTCAGAACAGGTATAAGAAATATCCACATGATTTTACAGACTCCTACACATGTGAGAAAAAGAAAAAATCCACAATTTGTCGTTACCTATTTGGGACTGAGCTACCAAAGTAGACTTGCGATCACAGAGTGGGGAAAATTGAAGACCTAAAGCAGCCTCCTTGTCTCCCTGCAAATAACAACGTTTAATGTTATAAGCATGTATCGGATAGCGGGACAGAAAGACAAAAGAAATTGAACATTCTGAGTATTTATTCAACAGATTACTTTGTTGACTTACATTCCAAAAAAAAAAAAAAGCCACAGGTAAAATAACCCTCATTATTTGTCTTTAAATTTTCAGGAAAAGTAAAAGTCAAAATTCTAACTCAGATTTGGCAGATTTTACATAAAGGAACTTACTGCGAGCAAGTTCTCCTGAAATGCAAATGAGATTTAGCATATAAAAAGTCCTTCAATATTCACAATTTAGTCCTGCTGATTCCAGATGTAATGGGATGGGAGATACTTAGACCTGTTTGTTACAGTATGCCAAATATCTAAGTGTTTTCTTCTATTACATTTGTTTACCCAACATGTAAAATTTCTTCAACGGATTTACAAAGGTCTAGTGCATGATCTGATTTGAACTCACTCTGCTGCTGAAACCATAAAAAAGTAGCTCAATTTCATTACAAATATGATTTCTACAACCTCGCTCTGAAAAAATTTCAACATCTAACACATTTAAATAGTTTTTTTGTCGTAACAGTCTTAACAGATGGGGGAGTGGTATCTCCATTTTCAGCATGGTAGACCAGCTGACTCACAAATGCTTAAAAAGTAAGTCTAGCGGTGCAAAAAACCCTAAAGAGACATCTTTGAAAGAAGGTTATAATTTGTGTTGCTGGACAAACCTCTTCCCTCAATCAATGACATTTTGCATACAGGAAAACTATTTCAAGTAAAATGACTCCATATATTACATTAGTCATGGAGAGTGCTGTTTCATGATCATTCAGTGGGGAGCAGTACATGAACATACCACTTGCCCAGAGAGCTCGTCAGAAGCTGATGGATGAAGGGGGCAGCATCAACCTTCCTTAGCCTTTTTGTCATGTATCATTGAACTAGATTTGGCACCAAAAAACCCACTTCAGACACAAGAACAGCTATAGCTTGCAGGTTGTGTTTCATGTGAAAGAGGAGAGTTTTATCATGATGGCCTTTAGATCTTACACCCAAGTGTCCATAGTTTGACTACAAAGTGTAGAAGAATACATGAACACTTACTACTAGGAGTAGTGCTACTGGCACGTCCATGTAAATGCAGGAGTCAGATTGTGATACAATATAAACAAGGATAGTTCTAACAATTTCAGCCGTTGTTGAATACAGAATTTCTAAAGCAATATTAGTTCTGTAATCTCCCTTTAACTAGGTATTAAAGGGGAAAACTCCACACTAGCAAAGAATCAGCCTGATTTTTTTTATGTTTTCATAAACATAAACCAATTATTAATTACTTTGCAATTAATGTACACATAATTAATACTTAAATATCATATAAGTCTAAGTCTACTGTAAACTGTAACAATTGACACAGTACTGATATTCAAATCAATCATTAAAATTTAATGAGATTTAAAATCAAGAAAAAAATCAAAACAGTAAAAAAATTCTTTGCTGAACTTGCTAGACAAAGTCTCTTTTTGTGTTTTTGGATCTAGTCAGACTGGAAGCAGAATGCTACAGGAACTGTGATATTTCTTAAAGTGACTTGAACTATGTGTTTCTTTATTTTAAGGTTTTGAGATGGGTGGGTGTATTTCTATTTTAAACAAATAGCTCAGAGTTTCCCTGGAATTACAAAACACTTTCTGTAGTTGTTGCTTTTAAACTTATAGTGTTGTTAAGCTTTTTTCCTGAAGTTAACACTGGCACATATTTTAACCTTTAGCTGCAGCTGAAGTTTTTTGTCTAGGTGACTGTTCATTTTTTGCTGGTGCTCCCTACTTTGAAAGCTGCTTGTTAAAGAATTGGGTTTGCATCAGCAGTTTCGGACTCTGTTGCTTTTTCCTGGAAGACAGTAGCAGTAGTTGAATTACTATCTTGAAAGAAAAGGAAGAATTAGTGGGTTTTGTATACACTTGGACTCCTTTGTCTTGGCTGATGCAGATTTGGAAATCCCAGAGATTTCCACCACACCCTCTTTCGGATCAACAGGTCAGAGGACGCACAGCCAAGCCAATCTTGGAAGCAAGAGACCTACTGTGTCTAAACTGCTCAGTGCATTTACACATTTAGTTACTTCATTAGATTTTAAATGTGTTTGAACTACTCCACACACACTGTTCTTAGCAGTAAATATAAAGAAGGATTCAGTTCCTTGCACACTCTTCTACAGCCTGAAAGACCTTCACATTCTACACTGCTGAGTTGCAGACATACATACATGGTCATCTGATTCTATTGCTAAGTGCCTCCTCAATTCTTTGAGCAACTTATTTGGGATCCAGTTACTTCTTCTAATGAAAGGATAAAGGAATAACAAAAGCATTAGTTGATCCTACACAATCAAGGACCAGTGTGGCACAGTTTATTGCTAATGCTACATGCACTTGATGGGACACATTGCCTCAGTGTCCCATGGGCTCTGTCTAGTTTGTCTCTCTGTGCCTAAAATGTTTTTACAGTTGGTCATTTCTGACCTTTTCAATATATATACAGGGCAATCTGCTCCTCCTTTTTCCTCTGAAGTTCAAAATCCTCATTATTTCCATTTATAGAAGTAGACACAAACTCATGACTCTATTCAGTATTTCCACAGAACTCAGTCCATTCATTATTTAGATTAAGGCACCAGCTCTCCAAACTGTCTCCACATTGCAAAGCCCAGAATCAAGGATGTCCCGATGCTTCCTACTGGGAATTCGTATAAAGAATCACTGGGAACAGAGCAAGAACCTTCTAGGGCAGATGGTTCAAACAATCTCATGGTTTAACATACTAAATTTTTATTTGCCTGACCCCTTTCTCCAATGTGACCTATCTGATTTGAAAATGCCAGCATATAGCAAAAAAATGACAATCAAACTGAGCAAGACATAGACTGTTCTGTTATCTGTATCAAGTATTTTTAAAAGCCATGTCTAACTGCAGAAATTGTGTAATACCTAAACTGGTTTTTGGTTATCAATTGTACTTCAGTAACTGTTACGTTAAAAATGTGCAAGGTTGCAAATATTCATTACAGGGAGACTATTCACCCTTTGGAGAGTATTTTTTTTTCACCTGACAAGGTGAGTAAACAAAATGGCAGCAGTGACACCAACACCTACTGGGCTTTCTTTTTGAATTCAGTATCTCACAGGCATGAAAAGACTTTCACAAAAGTGTGTCTTCATTCCTGCGTTAGGCCACAGTGCTAACAGGACAATACATTCTAACCTCTGGCTTTCGATCAGGCTGTTATGAAAGCAAAACCTCCAGATCTATGTGGCATCGGCATGGCAAGCACTTGCAAGGAAAAGAAAGAGGAGTGCTTTCTGAAATGTGGAGACAACTTTTTGTCGTCTTTGCTGAACATGAGTTCTTCCTATTTTCAGGTCTCTCATCCTACCCTGCTGGTTCTTCTTTTTAACTGAAAGCATATATAAATCTCTGTCTAAAAAATGCAAACAGTTTGACAAGTTATATTATAATTGAAAGAAAAAAAATGCTACAACACTCAGAATGCTGGTATCAGCTGAAATAGATACAGAGCTATAACAATTTCATCTTATTCATGCACATAAAAGTTGAATTAATGTCTGTGGTATGTATGAAGAGTAAGGAATATATACTTCTGACTATGCTTGTCAATCACAACCAACAGCATCCTTGCTGGTAGACTCATGAAAAGATTTAATTGTGTAACCATTGCTTCTTGAACTAGATTTATTAAAAGATTTTTAAAATGGCACCTGTCGAAAAAATTCTTCCATCAGGGCCATGGTCCACCGGTAGTGCAGTTCCCAGGATTTTGCTGGATGGCTTATGTCTGCTGCATGTAGAATCAAAGACATGGCTTTGGCTTTGTCTACCCTGTCAATTCAAGGACATGCTCCAATTATCTCAAAACAAAAGCAACTATTTAAATTCTTTTCTAATACATGAGCTCATTGAAAGACTATAGATAATGAACATAATGGAAAATAACCTACCCCTCTGTCTGCTGTAGAGTATGTCGCATCGTTTTAATTTGTTGAAAATGACCCGACATATCTGTAGACAAGACCATCTCAATGACCAAGCTGCGCAACTCCCTAAGGATAATTAAAAGCAAAATGACTGATTACAATTCATTTATTCTATGTATGTTGCATTTGTTTAAGTACTACTTGTTAATTTATAACTTTCTAAACAACATCACGGGTTTATTACATTTTAAAAAGCATTTAAATAAATTATTAACAACTTGAATGTTGTATCCTAAAGGGATTTTGTGAAAGTAATGTACTTCAGAAAATACACCCTGTCATCATTTTCAGAGTCACAGTGTTTTGTAATTCCTCTTTTCTAGCGCATAAACCAAAATTACATGAAGTTCTATCATCCATTATAAGTATTACCTTGATTTTATAGTAGTATTAAAAAAACCCAAACAGTTGGTCTCTGGGCTTACCACCACATAAGAGGACATTACTGTCCTGATATTAGTGCAGAACAGGCATAACAGTAAACCGAGGAAGAAGGCTGTGAAAACACTCAGAAGAGCAAAAGGTATTAATATCTAAAACTAAACCAACTTTATACCAACATATGAACATTATGGCAAACTGCCCTTCACCTCAAAAATACCTTAATGCCTATTTCATGAATCAGAACAAGTTTTTGATTTGTGATTTATCTATATCTTGGTATTATGCTAAGAGATGTTTGCTTGTCCATCAGCTTTCTAATAAATGAATATGAAAACAGTAAAACAGGAATCTGTAAGAAAGTGTATTAATTCTGATTTTATATGAAAGCACAATAATTTAGTCAACAATAATTACTTTCCTTGATGTAGAAGAATGGTCTATAGACTATATAGGAGTCTACTGCATCTTTATTTACATGCTTTTTAAACGGCCTAGGAGGATTTATGTGCAAGTGTTTCTTATATGTATACTGGGGAAAATTCACCACATCAAATCTTTGATTATGTGCATCTATCTTCATGATCACATCCCCTATCTTAAGGACATTAAAGTATCATAGAATCATAGAATGGCATAGGCTGGAAGGGACCTTAGAGATCATCTAATCCAACCTCCCTGTCATGGGCAGGGACGCCTCTCAACTAGATCCGGATACTCAAGTCTTCATCCAGCTTGGCCTTGAACACCTCCAGAGAGGGAGCACCTTCAACATCTCTGGGCAATTTATTCCAAAGTCTTGCTGCCCTCGTACTGAAGAATTTCTTCCTAAGATCATTCTCCTTCAACTTAAACCCATTTCCCCTTGTCCCATCAGTGGACATTCTTGTAAAACGTCCCTCCCCAGCCCTCCTGTAGGTTCCCTTCATGTACTGGAAGGCAGCTATTAGGTGCCCTCAAAGTCTTCTCTTTTCAAGACCGAACAATCCCAGCTCCCGCAGCCTGTCCTCGTAGCAGAAGTGCTTCAGCCCCTGGATCATCCTTGTGGCCCTTAATGCCTATTACAATAGTAGAATCCTACTTTAGTCATTCTCACTGATCTTTCATGTTGCATTGATATCTTTGATTTACTTAATAATGCAGTTTCTTCAAAGGACTATGTTTTAAAGAGGTAAATTGCAGTTTTCTTTAGTGCTGTTAGAACAGTTTGTTATAAAAACTATCAAGACTGCTTTTGAGACAAATTAGCTGCATAAGTAAGTTGATACTCCTCATTGATTTTTTTTTGTACTTATTCCTGATTTGCTTTGATGTAACTCAAAGATTCAATCCTTCACCTCTACTGAGTAATAAGCAGCCATAGCAACTTGTGTTTAGAAAATGCCTTACCTTATCTGACCTCATAATAAGATACTAATTAATTTGCATCCCAACTGTTCCTCCTCCAAATTGCTTTGAAATTGCACCCTTCAAAACCAGCCAAACCCAATAGAAAAAATAAAAAGAACAAAAAAAAGAACAGCAAACACTGCATGAAAATGGAGGAGTCTGTATTATTAAACCCTGTACGACTGAAATACTTATAACTTTCCCTTTCTGCGGGAGATTTTCCTAGGCTCTCTACCCACATTCTGCAGTTGTTTCCTGCCTGTGTCCCCACTCATCATCAACCGAGGCATGGAAAATTGAGAACTGATGAGAAAACATTAAATAAAGCTCTACTAGAGCTATGAATGCTCTGTCTACTACCATTGTGCAGATGATTACTCTTGGACTTAAATCATTCTGAAACTGTTTCCCAGGGGAAACAGACTGCCTCAACTTCCATATTGAAGTAGACCTCATCTGGTCTCGTAGGTAACTCCTGGACAGAAATCTCTGCCTGCTTCATTACGCAGCCCACAGCTACAGGCATTGGGACAACACTGTTAGTATTGCTCATGCTACCACAGCAAAAAGATGCGTAAGTGGTGTTGTCTTCAGTTCTACAACAGGAAGTGGTAATGGTATTCATGTCCAGTACATAGTGGGCTTTTTGAGGCCCACAACTGGAAGTTTATTGGTTTTGAGTATACAGTTTCCATTTGTCTTAAGTAAACTGTCATGTCCTGTGCTGTCATCCTTTCTTAACCCTCCTATATCCATACATCCTGTGAATAGAATATTGTAAAAAAATAGTTGTAAAATGATGGGAAAAAATTACATGAATAATGCTTTAATAAACAAGAGACAAGGGGTGGCAGTTAACCAGTAAAAAGAAACCAGCTTTACCTGGATTTGTCCACGATAAAGACATTTAGTCAACTGGAAACTAATGAAAAAATACAAGAAAGGGCTAAGATGAGAAAATCCAAGTTGGGAACTGAAGACACAAGGTTTATCTTGCAGTCCTGCTTTCCTCAGACAGAAGACTCCCAGACAAGCTGTTCATCAGTCACTGTATATGGTGCATTTTTTTTCTTTTAGTCTTCTTTGTATAATCAGGTAATATACAATTGTATGCCTTATGACTGGAATGGTTTGAGACTTTAATAGTGCCTGACCACTTATAGTTGACGATGTAACACATGGGGTGCTAGAACACTCCATGTAAATCAAAGGAGAAAGGGGGAAAAAAAGAGATTGAGTTATCTAGGGGTGCTAAGTGAGAGAAACAGGACAATATGAAAGACTGGAATATGTTTCCAGAGTTGAGAAAAGAGTGAGAAATGACTATGAATGTCACATGCGTTATCCACAAAGGACATCCTCATCAGAATGCTGGCAGTGTTTCGCTGCTCAGACCCAAATCCCATGTTTTAAACTTAATTGAAGTTGACAGTTTATTAGTGCATTTATCTTCTTAACATTAGGATGTAGAAAAGAAAATGTAATACTATAAAGTCATTCTCAGTCATTTTTCTTCATCTTGCTGAAATAATTAGCAGAACTACTGTTTAAATAGGCAGTAATGTTAATTTTTTTAAAAAAAATAAATTGCTGCAACTCAAGAAAATATCTGACAGTAGTCAAGAAATTTATCAGTCCCAGGAAGTACATTAAAAAGTGGAACAAATTATCACTTCAATTTACTGCCAATTTGATTCAGCACAAACTTCAAAACTCATAGTCTAATAGCATAAATTTCAGTATAGAGTCAAGAAGTTCACTCTAGTAATAATTATAAAATTGAAGAGCTTCTTTTAAGTGGCGAACAGATCTGTCATCACATCGATGAACAAAAGTATCTGATGACAGGATAACAGGAATTTTTGGATATTAGAAATGAATACCAGGAAACCATCATTTCCATGACTGACTCTCTAAAGTATCAGACTTCAACTGGTTGCGCAGGTTCTCAGACTGGCATGCTGTGGAATTTAGTGGTTTGTTTGAAGGTATAGATTGTATTTGCCTAGCTAAGTGACATCTCTTTTAAGTTGTTCAAATAGCCCCAACAAGAGACCATAAATTCTACTTTCTCTGGTTGCTAAATCCCACCAAATTCAAATTGGATGCACTGAATGGACTGAAGCTGTGCAGCCACTCTATACAAACAAAATTCGCAAAACTAAAGTAAGATCCTCCAGAAATCCTAACTGGGTTACAGTGAGAGGAGACTCAAAAGCAAGTGCAAACACACCCAGTATATGACTGAGCAATTTCCAAAGGAGTGTGGTAGCTTATCACAGGTTCAAAAACCACAGAGAAACTAAACGCAACAGAAGTTAGAACAATGGGTCCATAACAGGACTGGAAAAAGAAGTGCGGGAAGATCCAACCAAGCAATCTATGCAGAGAAGAGTGTGCTTCAGAAATGTGAAGAGAGTCTATCACATTTCTCCCTTTATTCTGTGGCAGTCCACTGGAGCAGTATGTATAAACGTCACACACCAGGAAAGGATAGGCTCCTCTTTCCAGTGACAAATACTTTCTTTCACAGGAGTTTCCATCTTATCACTCTTTTCCCCAGTGAAATAACCAGAGGGAATGACTGGGTGCACTGTACTAGCTGGCAGAGAGACTTCTGTCAGCTGGAGCAACTGCAATCATACTCATTTCTGGTTTCCTTCGACAATGAACGAGCCAGGACTGGTGAAGCACAGAAGTGTCTTCAAGCTATTCTTGGTCCAGTCCTGAACTGAAATTCAACTGAAGAAGATCTGCCCCTTTCTACCTAGATGCATTCTCTGGTAGGAAACAATATGAAACAACACCACTTCAAAAAAACATACTCCAGGCAGCAAGTCTATGAAGATTTGAAAAACATTAGCTCTCCACAATGAGGGTTTTAAAAGACAAAATAAAAGCCTCTGATGGCTCTCCACTGGCACGATCACTTTTTCCATACTCAATAGCTAGAATAAGCAAAAATAGGTTCACAGAGACCTATTAGGCCCAAAATTATCAGGCCCAAAACAGTTCCAAGCACGTTGGCAATGAAAATCAAGGTGTATATGGCAATTACTTCTAAAATATATAATTTACTTCCAGAAATCTTTCTCCAGAGTTATACTTAAAACACAAGCTTTATGATAACTAAATCCAAATGACTATCCTCTGAGAAGAAATCTTTTATGAGAATGAAAAAGTGAATGCTTCCTCTCACACGTTGTATTAAAAAAAAAAAAAAAGCTTTAATATTAAGTGTCTTGAAGTAGCTACAGAAAAATAATGATTTGAGAACCAAAAGGTTAAAAAAAAACTTTCAATAAATGCTTTCTTTAGGGGTAAGTAAAATCATGTAAATCTACCATGCAAAACATGGTAATCTGTAAATATATGTATCTGTAAAGACACACCACACCAAAATTAGGTCTGAGATCCATGTAATCCTTCATAAATGTGTAATTTTGTGAAAATAAAAATAAAGTGGCGTATAGCTTTGTTATTCGTGGTAGCATAATTCATAGGAGAAGACATTCCTGGAAGCACAACATCTCTCTTTTGTCTTCACAGTCCACCTATTTAAAAGTTATTTTAGGATCTCTGAATAACAGCTATCTTTACAGAAACACACAGAAGACTCGTATTTTAAATTCTGTAGTAGCATTCAAAGAAATACAAAGATAACGTGCCCTTTCTAATAATGGATAAAGTCTTATCTCTAGCACTTGTTGTGGTCTTACATATCTTAGTATTTGTGACATATCAATTATGATCCTGATTATTTCAGCTGGTCAGTTTTTCTTCAAGAATTACACTAAAAATTAGAAGAAAAAAAGAGATTTCTATAGTGCTTCCGGGCCTTTATTATTTTTGGACTCTCCAGCTAATTCATTTTTTATTGCTTAGCCAAGATGTGACTGCTGTGCTGTGTTACACACCAGAAATCCCAGAGGCAGCAGTGGTCAAGCTGGCGGCAGAGCGTGACTCTGCACCGAGGTTTTAAGCCACTCTTAGATGAAGGTAACCAAGCTCAGGAGGGACAGCACTGTGAGTTTCCTGAAGAGCTATCTCATCTGAGACACTGTCCACACAGTCCAACACTGTGCATCATAAATGCACAACCTCATTTGGAAAATTACATGAAGTTTCCCAAACAGTACTTCTTTACAGCACAGCAGCCTTCCTTGAGCTCTAAATAATCATTACTCTTCCCAGTGCCAAAGTTTCTTCCTGTAATTTGAACTCTTAAAATAGACTCCACAGGGAAGGCCTGATGTCTTTTTACTATTTTTAAATACTGAAATCAAGTTTGAATGTCACAGTAGGCCTTACCTCCAGTCATCTTTGGTTAAATTTGCCAGGATGTTCATCTCTTCCTCTTGCATGAGTCTATAAGCAGCACTTACATGATGATTTTCAAGAACAGAGCGATCATTGTATAATATTGCAACATCTGACCTAGTGTTAAAAAAAAGGGCAAAATTTGAAACAGCATCCTGATGATTGTACTGGGAATGGTAGGACTATGCATACTGTATGAGAACTATTGACAATATGTATATCAAACTACGTTTATTTGTTCCTGTTTTATTAAATACTGACAAAGTTTCCATCCTAAATGCATTCAAAAATATCATCAGACTATTGTATATCTTGCTGTGGGGAAGTCATATTTTTTGGATGTGTATGTTTTATTTATATGATATAACTGTGACACAAATTTTTGAGCTTCAACAGAAACGCTTTGATTAGACTACTCAAGAGTACTCTTAGGCAATACAACTATTTAAAAAGCAACGCATTCACCAACAGAGGACACTCCACACATAGCATGGGTATTGACAAGTTACTACCCCTGTTCCGAGAGAGATGTGCTTTGGCCCATGTCACTCATAATCAGAAGGAGCTGTAAATAATAAAATAGTTAAAAATTTCATTTTCATGTTTTAAACAGATGCCACATTTTGTCAGAAAACCAAAAAAACCTTATCTGATTGCATTCAAATGTTTCCTGAACCTAAGCCTTACCATTATGCTAGCACCCTCAACAGTATCCTTTCCCTCTTAGCCGACAATAACCAAATTACATACAAATTTTCACATGCTATGGATTTATCATAGCTTCAGACGTCATTAATTCTTGGGGAATTTGTTTCCCCAAGACCTGGTCTGACTTGCTAAGCAACCTTGGGTCTTCCCTCTGCTGAGCTTCCATTCTGCTAAAGCTATTCTCAGTATTTCAAGTTGGTCGACTGAGAAGTCTGTACTAGAAGAAAGGTGTAATGATTTAGCAGTGCAGCTTACTATGATATTAAAAAGGTAAATTCAATCTCTTGTTCTGCTAAGCAATAGCATATATTCAGTGTAATCATCCGTGTGTACAGTATGGTATCAAGGATTCTAACAAACTGGAAAGTGGATAACCTACCTAAATAATGACTATACATACATCCTTAATCCTAATTAAATCACGGGAAAAATCTGTGATTTGCCAATCGCATATGTTTATGAAGCACACTCTGATCCCCAGATTCTTCAAAACAGTGATAAGATTTGCTGTGACGAGGGCAGCCATTTCATCAGCCTTTCTCAGGCAAAAGCAGCCAGAAATCATGGCCCTGGGATGCCACACTAGGGCCAAGTTCCGCTAGGAGGGAAGAATGAGCACCATCACAAAACAAATACCTGTTCACAAGTATGCCCAAGTAAAATTCAAAGGCTAATAGCTTAATTGATTTTCCACTTTTGCAATACTTCAGAGCAAAATATTAAGGACAAAAATAGAAAAGTAATATAAACTTGGAACTACAAATTGAAGTATATTTTTGGCCAGACTATACTGAGGAAGAAAAGAATTATGTCTCTATTTCAGCTGCAGATCTAGAATTTGGTCACTACTAAAGGGCACATCTCAGGCAACAAGTATGTTATAGATTTAATTTAAATGTAACCATTAAGCACTTCATCTGTATAGGTGAGCATGAGGATGCTTCTGTTCAAAGTACTAGTATGTCTAGCACAGAGCTGCTGTTAGAATATGTCAGTGCTTTACTGAAATAGTTTTTTTTCAAGAACAGATAAAAACTCCTTAACTGAGGGTACTAAAATCAAAGTACAGTCTAGTGTAATAGAACAATAAAATATGTTGTACCAAGGTAAGTATCAGGTATACCATTTATCACTCAGTAATGGATTGGTCAGCGAGTTTGCTTTGATAAGCTGAAAATATTTTAAGGTATATGCTGTTGTTCTGCACCAGAGGCTAGTACGATACCCTGTGTCTGTATAAGAATACAGTTAGCCTGACTTTCAGATTGGGTTTCTTCCTAGATTTCTTTTTTTTAACTACTGCAGATGTTTTCAAAACATGCCAGGAGAGGATTCACGGCAGGTGTTTCTAAAACTGTACTTGAAGGTTTCTCCCTCTGTACTAGGACCCTTTCAGTTTAATACATGACTTGAAACAAAATGTAGCACCTGAAATAAGCGCAGACAACACTGCTGAAAAAGAAGTGGTATTTCTCTGAGGACACTATAAAGGAAATATCTGAGTTTGAAGCACCAGAATTTAAGCAAGTAAACAGAGGGGTGAGGGGTTTTCAAGTCTGTGTTCTGAATCTTTATGAAATCTCCCTTGACATGTCAGCTCCAAAATACAATGAGCTAAAACACTATGGAGCTAACTCCTTACTTTTCCACACTGTCTTTGTTCCTTCAATCAGCCCCATTAACAGAGGTTAAGGAAGCAATTAATAAAACCAGGAATGACCTGGCTGCTTCCTGACTGTATCAGTAAGAGGTGTGTCACAGCTCAGATCAATGAACAGCAGACTCCAGAGACTTCTTCACTTACCTTGTCTGAATATGAAAATTGTTTGTGGTCCCAGTATGTTCATAATCATGGACTGCAGCTGCAAAGATCATTGCTAAGATTTCCAGTTCTGTGAGCCAGTGCTGGTAAACAAAAAACAAAACTTAGTCATATTTTCTAAAATACCCTAACTCAGATTGAACATTCCAGTACCAGAAATGTTTTGCATTACCTTCAACTCAAGTAAACTTGATTCTTGTCCTATTCCAGGTAACTACATATCCATAACACTTCAGTATTATAGAGTAAAATAACTTGTAATTATGATTTCTCTAAGACCATGTTAACGTCCTTATGGTCACTAGCAAAGTAAATATTGGCAGTAAAAAATACAGGAAGTTATTACAATAATCATACGGTATACTTTGTAGCTGTTCTGAGTAGGAAGTATCTAATCTGCTAGTCCATACCTGGCACTTGCCAAATTATGGCGTATTCACCTAAAAACTTTATATGAAGTTAAGGTTATAATTTGTCTTTTAGCAAACCATATATTCAATTCATAATAAATTCTAGTTCAATATCAGCATTTACTATATTTTACCAGTGTTCAAAATTAGACTCATCGGAAATTTTTTTGTTCTAAATTTTATCATACTTTGTAATAATGCAAAAAAAGGGTGCATAAAGCTAGTATACAGTTACACAGAACAAAAGGTAATATGGGTCATGTATACAAAATAATGCAGGCCCTAGGGTTTTGTGCACTTTATACTTCTTGCTAATTGAGGCTGTTCTATATCACTTGGTTTGGAAAATAACCTCTATTATTTTATATTTCAAGTCCTATTTCTTGAATGATAAATCATCCTTGAGGAGAAAATTTACTCCATCTAAAAATGAGTGCAGAAAAATAATATGACAATTAACCCCCGCAGTCATAGGACTCATTAAGTCAAATGCCAGTCAAGCATTTCCACGTACATTTCAGATTTTTTTAGTGTAGAAGTAAGCTTCCGTAATAAGGGATAAAAGAACTAACTCACTCTTATGCATCCATATATGCACATACATGTGTATGAGTGGATATAAGATGTATAAGCTGCCAATAGTAGTACTTATTTCAAAGAAGAAAGGAAACAGGCAAGATCCATAAGTAACTGAGAATAACGAAATAGCTCATTTAGTGACAGAATAAGACTGCTCAGGAACAACAAGTACTGGCTGTTAGTGAAGCAGTATAGATTTGAAAAGGTCACAACAGAGGAATGCGAATGTACTGTAAGCAGTTCTAAAATTGGAAACGATGACCTTCATCGCATTGTGTGTCACAAGAAACCAGGCCATGACCGGTCCTGGCTTTCACAATGTTTTCAACATACCAAACAGAATAGAAACCCAGAAATAACTAGTAACTAATGCTAAACCCTTAAAAAGATCAGCTTTTTTAGTAGCCAAAATCATCACTAGACAATGCATTTATAAGTAGAAGAACATTCCTTACAAACAATACCTATGGGCTACATGGAAACTTGATTCAGTACTCTATGAGAGCAAGCATTCTGGAGACTAGCCGTACAGTTAAAATTCAGATCAGTATTCAAATAAGTGAACCAGAGAAATTCTTTAGCTAAAGGATTTCTAAGGAAGCAGGATAAAGCTCTTAGAGATACAATTAACAAATGGTTTTCTCAAAGGGAAAGGGAAAAACATGTATCTGGAGGTCTGCAAGACTGCAAAGAACCTGCTTCCCTCCAGTTGATAGCATGCCATGCAGGTGTAACACCTATTGGAAAAGATCTCACCTACTGAGAGATGTTTTCCAGTATTTATAAATTGCTAGTAGGTAAATAGACTCATTTCAACTTTTCCTGACCTGTGGTTGAAACTATTTTTTTAAACAAAGATAGATTAAAAAATGAGTAAGAAAGGGAGTCTCATAATGCACTTACTGACAGTAAAGACATTTTTTCCTTTAGCTTGAGCAATACAGGTATGTGGGAGGAGAAAAAGGATGGTGGGAAGATGATCGATGATGACTCAGAAGTTCTTCACAATATGTATTCCCTGGGACTTGGATTCTTAAATTTTTATAAAGATGAAGACTTCGTAAAAGCAACCTTGAGTTATATATTTCAGTCGTATCATCTGAGATTTAATCTCCTGGGAACACTAGTAGATTGTGTGCCACCTGTGATATCTAACTTTCCAACACATTGATCTGAGGTGGCTGGATTCTTTTTCTTAATATAGACAGTAACTTGTGGAAAAATCCAATGATAATTTTATTTCTTTAACTGTGACTCTGAATATGTGTTATTCTTCACTGGAATCTCTCTAAGGGCTTATGGAGAAGTATAAACTCTGACCAGCCAAATTTTTATGGCAAATGCTGAAACATGGCTGTTTTCCAGGTGCCTATAAAAGTTAAAAAATATATGACCTCAACAACAGGAATCATGAAAGGGATTTTCTAAAATTCAACTTTGAAACATTTGCTTCAGTATGTCTTTGAGAAGTGAACAGGGATGACAGCAATTATTTGCAAGATTTGGGAGTTAGTATCAGCTCCACAATGTACAACAAAAGCACAAGAACTTCAATCTGGGATCTGTAAAAATCACCCAGAATTTTGATACAGAATTGCATCAAATTGACTTCAACACAGGTATTTGCTAGAAGATACAGCAGAGTTAAAAGAGGCATTACAATAGACATACTCTGAAAACTACAGCTTGAGAAGCATACCTCAAATTGTTATTGGGTAGGATTCTGTGGGGTTAACCAAGCAATGGGAAAAAACCTAGCAAGTTAAATAGAACATTTCCATGATACTGATGCATTCTCAAACTGCAAATGACATTTGGGACAGAAATACTTTGCAAGCTGTGGATCGCTAGTCCCTCTTTCAACACTGATTTCTAAAAATGTTCCTTCTGCCTGGCAAGCTACATCTGTTTGAAGGCACTCTTGTCTAAGTGTTGTCCTAGTTAGATATCTTTCCAAGAACTTTCCAGTATTGTAATTCAGCAATTCAAATGTGAATATTTAAAGCATGGCCTGATTTTACAGGGATATTTTATAGCAGCATTGCAACAGTAATCAGGTTTTACAGCAAAGTAACAACAATGAAATCTAATCTTTTCTGAAAACAATTGAACAAATCACAGCAAAGTGCAGTTACAAGATTAAGATGCTAATATTGTAAAAATGGAGTTGGAGATGCCTTTCTCATTCTTGTGTGCACCTGGTGGAATAACAGATACTCAAATACAAAAACCAGTTCCTTCATCTGGTGTTTAGAGATACACAAAGTGTGTTGCGAAGCTGTTTAATCAATGCCTAAGATAGCTAGGAGAGCTCTGGAAGTTGAAACCTTGACCTCGCACCACAAACAAAATCTGGATTCTGCTGTCTTTTTTGAAGGGCAGAGGGGCACAGTTACAAAGGGATGTTTATAATGTATAATACAATAAAGGGATGTTCCTCCACGTTAAGCTGATAATCCAGGTATATATCTGCAAGAAAGACATGTCTCATATGCTTGCAATTGTTCTTACAGTAGAACACAAGGGTAGGATAGGAATCATGACCTAATATCTTCATTTTTCTTTCTTTTATTAAAATATTGTTTCAATAGGTGAACATCATATGCAACAATTTTTGAGTCATCTTGGTAAGAGCTGTCTAGTCTATGCTCCAGTCTGACATGGAAGTCTTTCTCAAGAAAACATCTCAATAGCAGAAAGAATCTTGGATGGTGAAGACTCCAGGCTTCACACTGCAAATAGCACTTGTGTTAAAACGTGACTTTAAAAACTTGATGCTTAGAAGCACAACACTTCCTCCAAATAGTAGACTCAAACCCTGTTATGCCCAGGGACTTGTTCTTCCCTCCACTGAAGCCAAAGGCAAAGCTGTCACCAAGAAAAGGCTTAAACGTAAATGAATGACTGTCTGTTGTGTATACACTGGAGCACAAACATCTAGAGTAAGCCCTAAAATTTTCCTTTCCAAAAGTCTTTTGGAATTGTTTCATGGCTCTGCAAACAGAAGTCAGACACTATCTCTTCGCACTTTTTTTTTTTTATAGGAAGTGAATTTGTATTGAAGACAAATCATCAAAAGGCCATTGACAGAGATGTCCATTTTCCTCCAGTCAGTGTTTACTTTTGTCTAACAAGCTGATAGCGGCAAGACTCCCACTGCTGGTATTAAATCTAAGGTAAGTGTTTAGAGCAAAAATGCGTGCACAGACTCATTTCAGTTCCAGAGCAAATGCTAAAATATTTTGGGATACCGCACCACTGCAAGGCTAATGCAACCTCTTGCCTGCCATAAGCACACACAGTATGGAAAAGTAGTCCTAAATAAGGTTGGAAACTAAACGAAAAAGCAACTGCAGGATATCTGAGTGAGCCTGCACTGATTGAGTACATCTTTCAATGGCCAGGACCCCAACAGATACTAAAGCTTCCTTGCCTATCACACCTCCCAGGCTCTGATGTGGAAGCGAAAAAATCTCACCTGCCCACTCCTGCAAATATATCACTTTTAGTATGATATATAATACCCAAGCCCAGGCAATGTAAAGCAAAAAGGATTTAAGGAGGAAATTTTTTCTTCTTTTTCTTCACGTCCACCTTGAAAGATCTATTAAAATGACATAAAATTCACAGTCTGAATGGTAGTTTGGAATCTCTCTCTAAACAATTTTCAAGGGAGCATTTTCCTTAAAAAAAGGCACACGTACACATTTATACAAAAAAGTAGAGTCTGAGAAAAGGAGGAAATTGAACTTTGAAGTATCTCTTACCATGATACCAGTGTGAATCATTATGTAATGCACAGTTTGAGTAACGTCAGCTGCATGGATCAAATTGTGGTACGGATTTTTGTATTTGCTGTAACCAACTTCAAGAGCTTCAGCAAATGAAATAAGATTGGGAACAGGGATCTGGAGGAAGCAAAAATTAAAATAAATGTATTTTTTTTTTCCTGCAACAGCAGGAAAGTTAACCATGCAATAAATAAACCACAAATAAATATACCATAGAAATTAGCTAACAAGCAACAACAACAAAAAATAATTTAAAACATAATGGTCTAGATGCATCAGGGAGTCCTCACACAATTCTTGTACACATTATATCTCTCTACATACAGTATGCACAGAATGAGGTTAGTGTACAAGGGGCTGCAGAGCTACTGACCAAAAAGTTTTTAAAACATCTGTCTGTACCAGAAATGCATAAATTTCTCATATAATAAAGGCATGACAGATAGGAGTCTAACAATAGGATTATCTCTGTTTCTTCACCAGTTTTACCTTGCCCGAGACAAGGTTTCCTTGATTCTGATAACACGACTTTCCTTCCTTCTCTTCCTCCAGACAACGTATGAAGTACAGGTACTATCTAGTCCCACTTATTTTCCCATTGTGCTGGTTTTGGCTGGGGTAGAGTTAAATTTCTTCACAGTAGTGAGTATGGGGCTGTGTTTTGGATTTGTGCTGGAACAGTGTTGGTAACAAAGGGATGTTTTAGTTATTGCTGAGCAGTGCTCGCACAGAGTCAAGGCCTTTTCTGCTTCTCTCCCCATCCCACCAGCGAGGAGGCTGGGGGTGCACAAGAATTCGGGAGGGGATCACATGTGGGACAGATTACCCCAACTGACCAGAGTGATATCCTAGACCATATGGTGTCATGTGCAGCAATAAAACTAGGGCAGACTGGTGGGAGGGCCACCGTTCAGGGACCATCTGGGCATCTGTTCGCTGGTTGCGAACAATTGTTTTCATTTGCATAATTTCTATTTCTTGGGCTTTATTTCTCTCTCTTTCTTATTCTCCTTTTCATTACAATTTTATTATTGTTACTATTACTATTATTAATAAAAATAATAATGTCAATTATAAAACTGTCCTTATCTCAACGCATGAGTTTCTCACTTTTCCCCTTGCAATTCCTTCTTCCTATACTGCTGGCACAGGGAGTGACAAGTGGCTACAGGGTGCTTAGTTGCCGGCTGGGGTTAAATCACAACACTCTTATAATGAAATGACATTTTCCTTAAGATTTTTTTCTTTATTTAAAAGCCATGAAGAGTAAACAGTGGGTCTGAGACTGGGCTTTAAGCACACTGAGCCAGTAACATTGTGTACTTTCTGACTGTGGTGTTAATGGTAACTCTGGTGTGGTTCTCCAAGTCTTCTGGGACTTCAAGCACCCAAACCTTGAAGGAAAAAGCTTGATAAGAAAAGCTGAGTCTGGATTATCAGTTACAATTAAAATATTCAAACTAACTCCAGGGTGAAGCAGCCTTTTTGAAAGGAGTTTTGCAGTGGAATGATTTTGAAACTATAATGAACTTTCATTTGGTACTGTT